AATGTTTAAAGGAGTAGTCAATAATCGTTTCAATCACTGAGTTTTCTTCACCGCTGGTCATGGTGTCAAAAGCCGTTGTAATAATTTTTTGCTGCGTTGAAGTACTGATTTTTTGCATACAATTGATCAGGAGCAGAATACGCTCAATCCCTGTGGCAAATTCCAGTTGTCTGATTAATACTGCAATATCATCTGATAAGTTTTCCAGAAGCTGAATACCTGTGTTTTTACTGTCCAATAACCCTGTTATATTTTTCATTTCAGGCAGGGCCAGAAAACCTTCTCCCCAGAAATCTCTCATAAAATGAATTACGATTGCACTTCCAATGGTAGTATTTTGTGATTTTCTAAACCAGTGCGGTACATTGGTATTGAGTAAAAAGATATCTCCCTGTTTATATTCTCCAATATAATCACCGATCAATGCAGTCCCATTTCCTTCGGTAATCAAAATTAATTCACATTCCAGGTGCTTATGCCAGGCCGTTTCAAAATCAGGTGTTTTGTACGTCCGGCAAGCAAAAGAGTTATATTCTTCTACATGGATTTTCTGAATGAGTGTCTTCATAAAACTGGAAATGTAAGTTATTCAACTGCTATCTGAACATGAAATAACGCTGATAAACCCAATAAGTGATCAGATAGCGTATTTTTTTTAATAAATAACGGTTGAACAGGGCTTGTGTTATTCTGTAGATTTAAAACTAAGGAATTCTTTGACGCTGAGACAATTTTAACCTGAATAAAACCAAATATATTTTTATGAATGAAATTTCAATAAAAGCTGATTATGGAAGATAATACATATGATGCGATTGTAGTCGGTTCTGGTATCAGCGGTGGCTGGGCTGCAAAGGAGCTTTGTGAAAAAGGTTTAAAAGTCTTGATGCTGGAACGTGGTGGCCCTTATGATCATATTAAAGATTATAAGACTGCACAGAAAAATCCCTGGGAATTTGAACACCGGGGAGGTACAACAGCTGAACAGAAAAAGAATTATCCTGTGATTCATCGTGGTTGGGCAGCCAATGAAGCGGTAATGGATGCCTGGGCAAATGAGCAGGATTGTCCTTATACGGAAACCAAACCTTTTACCTGGTGGCGAAGTTACCGGATGGGTGGCCGTTCCATTTTATGGGGCAGGCAGTCTTATCGCTGGAGTCAGATGGACTTTGAAGGCAATGAAAAGGATGGTATAGCTACACCATGGCCAATTGGTTATGCAGATGTAGCTCCCTGGTATGATTACGTAGAGAAATTTGCAGGTATCAGTGGTTCTATAGATAATATTGCACATTTACCTGATGGGCACTTTTTTACCTCCTATGGAGTTGAATTGTGTGGAGAAGGATATGGCACAAAGAATAAAAAAGGAATACCATGAAAAGCGGCATTTAATTATTGGAAGGGTAGCCAATCTTACTGCTGCAATTCCCGGCAGAACTAAATGTCAGTTCAGAAACCGCTGTTGGGAAGGATGCCCATTTGGAGGCTATTTCAGCACGCAGTCTTCTACTTTACCTGCAGCAATGAAAACCGGAAATCTTACGGTAAGACCTTATTCTTTAGTGAAACAGGTTCTCTATGATAAAAATTCAAAAAAGGCAACGGGAGTAGAGATACTGGATACCGAAACTAATCAGACTTACGAATTTAAAAGCAAGATCGTTTTCCTATGCGCCTCGACGTTAAATACGGCCTGGGTCTTATTAAATTCTGCGACTGATATCTGGCCTGGTGGTTTAGGAAGCAGTAGCGGCGAGTTAGGGCATAACGTGATGGATCATCATTATAATGTAGGTGCTTCAGGATCGGTTGAAGGGTTTGAAGACCAGTATGTGTATGGCAGAAGAGCCAATGGATTCTATATTCCAAGATTTGTGAATTTAGGGGGAGATAAAAGAGATTACCTGCGTGGTTTTGGCTATCAGGGTGGTGCAAGCCGGGAAAGTTGGGGACGAGAGATTGCTGAGCTGAATATTGGCGGTGATTTTAAGGATGCTTTAGCTGAGCCAGGAAAATGGACTATCGGGGCATCTGGATTTGGTGAAATTCTCCCATATCATGAGAATAAAGTTTCATTAGATAAAAATAAGAAGGATAAGTGGGGTTTGCCTGTACTGGCTATGGATGCGGAACTGAAAGAGAATGAACTAAAAATGCGCAAGGATATGAAGGAAGAAATGAGGGCAATGTTTGATGCTGCAGGAATAAAAAACATCAATACCTGGGATAATGGACATGCATTAGGGCATGGTATTCATGAAATGGGCACGGCAAGAATGGGAAGGGATCCAAAGACATCTGTCCTGAATAAATGGAACCAGGTTTGGGATTGTATGAATGTATTTGTGACTGATGGCGCCTGTATGACCTCTTCAGCCTGCCAGAATCCTTCCTTGACTTATATGGCTTTAACAGCAAGAGCGGTAGATTATGCAGTGAGTGAATTAAAGAAAAATAACATTTAGGCTGATGGAAAGAAGAGAACTTTTAAAGATGATTGCATTGCTTACTGGCGGTGCTATTATTGGAGGTAACACTTTACTGACTGGTTGTAGCCCTGAAAAGGGAAAATTGTTGAATAAGTCGATTTTTAGTCAGCAGGATCAGGATTTTCTGGACGAAGTTGCAGATACCATATTACCTGCTACAAAAACTCCCGGAGCTAAAGCAGCTAAAGTGGGTGCTCTGATGACGGTGATGGTGAATGATTGTTATGAAGAAAAAGATCAGAAAGTATTCAAAGAGGGGATTGACAAGCTCAATGCAGCCTGTGAAAAAATGCATGGTTGTGAATTTATGAAGGCAAGCAAAGCGCAAAAATTAGCATTGCTGGTCGCCCTGGATCAGGAAGCTAAATCCTATCAGGCTAAAAGGGGTGACTTACCTGCGCACTATTTTACCATGATGAAGCAATTGACACTTTTTAGGTTATTTTTCTTCAGAAGATGGTTGTACCAAGGCCATGCGTTATATCGCTGTTCCGGGCCATTACGAAGGATCAGTTCCTTATAAAAAAGGCGATAAAGCCTGGGCTTAACATATGTATTTACTAGGAATCGACATCGGTACATCTTCCATCAAAGTTTCTGTGGTGGATGTACAAACCAGGAAAAGAATTGCTACAGCGCAGTATCCTGATCAGGAAGTAGAAATTAAATCCCTCATCCGGGCTGGGCAGAACAGTCCCCTAGAAGATTGGTGGCAAAATGCAATTCACGCTATACTCAGGTTAAATGCAGGCGGGAGTTTTGATCCAAAGGAGATCAAAGCTATTGGAATTGCTTATCAAATGCATGGACTGGTCATTGTAGATCAGGATCAGAACGTATTGCGGGATAGTATAATCTGGTGTGACAGCCGGGCGGTTGAGCTGGGCGAAAAAGCTTTTGCAGCAATCGGTCAGGACAATTGTTTACATCAGCTGCTTAATTCTCCTGGAAATTTTACAGCTTCAAAACTGGACCTGGGTTAAGCATAATGAGCCTGAAATTTATCAAAAGATAGCTAAAGCAATGCTTCCGGGTGATTTTATTGCGATGAAACTGACAGGCAGTATTACGACCAGTATTTCAGCACTTTCTGAGGGGATATTCTGGGATTTCCGCAAGGATGAATTATCAGAAGATATCATGAAATATTATGATTTTGATGCGCATCTGATCCCTGCTGTTCAACCCCTCTTTTCTGTACATGGACTGTTAAAAGCAGATATTGCGGCACAATTGGGCTTACAGGAAGGAATTCCTGTCGCTTATAAATCAGGTGACCAGCCTAACAATGCATTGTCTTTAAATGTACTAAAGCCGGGTGAGGTTGCAGCAACCGCTGGTACATCGGGTGTGATTTATGGCGTTAGTGATGCCTTAATTTATGATCCTCAATCCAGGGTAAATACGTTCGCCCATGTGAATTACAGCAGTACGCAAAAATATACGGGTGTATTGCTATGTATCAATGGAACGGGAAGCATGTACCGGTGGGCAAAACATAATTTTGCACCAAATCTATCTTATGAAATGCTGAATGAGCTTGCAGCTACTGCGCCTTTAGGGAGCAGAGGTTTAAAAGTCCTGCCTTTCGGCAATGGTGCAGAACGTATACTGAACAATAAATATACAGGTGCACAATTGCTGGGAATTGACCTTAATCTGCATGGACAGCGCGAAATCTTCAGAGCGGTACAAGAAGGAATAGCCTTTGCATTTCGTTATGGGCTGGATATTATGCGCGAAAGCGGTATGCAGCCAACGGTGATCAGAGCGGGAATGGCCAATCTGTTTCTAAGTGAGGTTTTTGCACAAACCTTTGTAGATGTGACCGGTGTGCCTATAGCGTTATACGAAAATGATGGCAGTGTGGGCGCTGCAATAGGTGCAGGTATTGGTGCGGGTATTTTTGAAAACGCTGAAGAAGCGTTCATTCATCATGAACCGGTCAGGTATCTGGAACCGAAAAATACAGCAGCCTATGAGCCGCTGTATATCGAATGGAAAAATCTTTTAAATAAAGCTTTATCAAGCTAAACAAATAATAAAAATTATGACAAGAACAGTAATTGGAGAAAAAGAGTTTTTTAAAGGAATAACACAAATTCAATTTGAAGGTTTAGAAAGTGATAATCCACTGGCTTTTAGATGGTATGATCCAAATAAAGTAGTAGCTGGTAAAACCATGAAAGAACATTTTAAGTTTGCTTGTGCTTACTGGCATTCATTTAATGGAAATGGTAGTGATCCTTTTGGTGGAGCTACGCATGTTTTTCCATGGGATGAAAAGAAAGATGCGGTAGAGCGGGCAAGAGATAAAATGGATGCTGCTTTTGAATTCATTACCAAAATGCAATTGCCCTATTATTGTTTTCACGATGTGGATATAGTGGATTATGGAGATGATATTGCTGAAAATGAACGCAGGCTGCAAGCCCTGGTGGAATATGCAAAAGAAAAACAAGCCAGCAGCGGAGTTAAATTACTTTGGGGAACAGCCAACTTGTTTAGCCATAAACGTTATATGAATGGTGCATCGACCAATCCGGATTTTCATGTACTGGCACATGGTGCTGCGCAGGTAAAGGCTGCTTTAGATGCAACAATCGCACTTGGTGGAGAGAACTATGTTTT